CCGCGAAAGCGACCCAACTCGTCGACATCGTCCGATGATGGTGCCGCAAAGTCAGCCTCCGGAGGCTATCGTCGCGTCGAGCCGGCGGTGGCCGTGACATGTGGTTCCACCACCCCTCGCAGGCTTTGCCTCTGACCGCCACCGTTCCCAGGCTGCCTAATGGGATGGAAAGGAAGGCCTGGGCGGGCGTATAGAAGCGTGATCGACCTTGTCGTGGCAGCCTGCACGGCAGCGCTGGTAGGCGCGATGAGCGTCGTGCCACCTGACCCGAGACGGGTCGAAGGCGTCGTACATTGCGCGTCGAGACCGTGTCCTGATGCGCTCTGCACGGGTGAGTCACGTCGGCGTCAAAGGAGCGACGTGTGACCTGTCAGAGCTTGATCTCCGATCTCAGCGGCGTCGAGTCGCCTTCGGCGGCGACAGCTAGGATGCATCTCCTCCGTCGTTTTTCGCGCGATGGCCCTGAGAAGCTGGCGGTTCACGCAGGCGGACCTTGTGTGTGCACGGAACGCTTAAAAAGTGGGTGCTCTACGTCATCTTTTTTGAGTAGATAGTGCCGAGCTGGCCGTGACATCGTTTTTGGTAGTTTTTGGCACTTTTTTTTTAGTGTATGTAGCTCTTACGTACATTCCCGGAGGAGGACTGCTGACGGGGTTTGCGATGAGGAGCGATCCGAACGTGGTATTCGGGTGATCAGATCACTACCGCCGAAACGCAAGAGTACTGCGACGCATCGGGCTCATGCTAGCATCCACCTCGCGAGCCGACCGTCTGGCTCAGCGAGGCTGCTGCGGAGCACTCGCGGGCCGATTTCTGGCCCAGCGAGGCCGCTGCGGGACACACCGGCGGCTCGGTTCGCTCCTCAACGCAAACCCGGTCGAGCAGAAATTCAGGTGTGTGTGTAAAGGCGGCGTGGCACGGTAGGATGGCAGGCTGGACATCGGTCGGCGGGCCGAACGGCTGAGCGGGGGGCGGCGGCGGGGGGCGAGGGCGGCGCGGTAACGGCAGGATGGAGCGAGGCGGCAGGGCAAACGACTGAGAGGGGGACGGCAGCAGGCGAGGCGGCGGAAGGGTGGGGCGAGGGTGGCGGCGGGGCGGATCACGAGGAAGTAGGAAGTCGGGCGAGCGAGCGAGCGAGCGGCCAGCGAGGGCAGCGAGGCGGCGGGAGGGTGAGGCGAGGGTGGCGGCGGGGCGGATCACGAGGAAGTAGAAAGTCGAGCGAGCGAGCGAGCGAGCGGCGAGCGAGGACAGCGAGGCGGCGGGAGGGTGAGGCGAGGGTGGCTTTTTGCACCACAGACTTTTTGCAACTACCCAAAAACCTGGCCGGCCCCCTGCCCTGCCCCTACCTACCTACCTACCTACCTACCCTACTTATGGGAAACTAAAAAAGAAATCACTCGATGGGTGAAGGTGGGGTACCATACCAACTTAAAGTGATGGTTGGTGGTGCTCTCCTGCAACCACAGTCCTTCCTGTGACATGGCAGGCAGGCCACTCTCAAGCCCTACAAGCACCAGATCACCCATTTGGGGAGGGTTGACATCGTGATTTCCGCGAAAAAAAATCTTTTTCTGCTGTGAAAATTCCAGCGTGGAGAGAGGGAAAACCCCGACGGGAGGGCCCAGACCTACCCTACCTACCCCGTCATGATGTCCGGCCAAGCAAAAATAAACTACGCTCTCCGAGTCGTTTCCAAGAACCAGTGCCGCACTCGTTGCCTGAGCATTTCCCTGAGCATTTCCCTGAGCATGCTCCGCTGGTGCCTCTACCTCGCGTGCGCGCTACTTGCGTGCGCGCGAGGAGCGTCCGCTTTCCTTGTTCCGCCGCCACCCATGCCCCTGTCCGTCACGATGCACTTTGCCCAGCCGCATCTTATGCCACCGCCGACGACAGCCATGAGCTCCATCTTCCCCAGCACCAGCAAAGGCCAGAATGAGGCGGCGAAGAAAGCTCAACAGGAGAAGCTGGCAACACGCCGGTATGGGGATCTGCCGTCCACTGCAAAAACGGTCGACCTTTCCCAAGGTCACAGGCGCCGCACCTTTCTCCCCCACCAAAGAGCTTTGCTTAAGCTCCTCGCCCCCGTCCGGTTGCTCAACGCGAAGCCCCTTTCCGGGACGCCCTTTTCAACCCCCATTCTTGAAAAAAAAAATCCCTGGCACCCCAACCCAGGACTTTCAACTAAAGGGCCACCCCCCCCC